CAACTGTGCTCGGAAACGCCATCTATCGGATGTTTTCGATGAATAGTTGTCATACTATTATTTCATATCAAAAAGCACGACGAAATTATTTAATGGATCTGTTTTTTGTTGCTCTCCAACGGTGGTGACAATTTCATACAAATATACAATAGACATTATGTTACAGTAGGTTGTTCTTGATAATACGTCTTTCACTCTAGTAAATTATTTACTGTTTTGACTAATTTTCGAGTATATTAATTACTACTATACAGTGATATTTCTCTCTTTAGCCGATGTACCACACAGTTCTATGTATCCCACCAGGAAACATTAAAACATACATGAACTGCAGCGTATAGTGTCGGGCACTAAAATTATGAAATTCCAAGTCATTTTCCATTTACACGGGTCGTATAAATAAATGATAATAAAATTGTGTAACGACCGTGTTAAACCAGAAAAAAGTGCAAGGTGCTATTTGCCAAAATATCAAATCATGTGGCAATACCATAGACTGTAAATATTTATAATTATAATCATTGKTAATACAGCAGTAGGTTGAATTAATTAATTTTATAGTGAATTATTAGGTACTACCTATATATTATATATCCCATGTTATTGTTAAAAAAACGGTTTTTTCAGTAAATAAACTTTTGATAAATCTTGCATCAAATGTTCAAGTACAAATAGCTAACTGTTATTTATTATTTATGTTTAGAATAGGTACCTACTATATAATATTCTTAATTCATTAGAAACAAGTGTTATCACAGATGATTTTGAAGAGTATCTGAGAACAATTTCACAAGCTCAAACAATACCTCCAACTATTAATCTCGATAATTCTTATTATGAGATAAAAACAAAAATTGAAGATTCTGYAAATATTGATAGAGTTAATTATAAAAAAATGTGGTTMAGTATTGGTTGGCAAAGAAACATGAAATGCCAGAGTTATTTGGGCATGCAGACATTGTTATGGCTGTACCAGTTATTCAGGTAAATATTTCTTGTGCTTTTAAAGTTTTAAATGTATGTCCTATGTAATATGAATTGACTGAAATGTTTATATAATAAGCATTAAACACTGTTGTTGTTTTTTCTAATTAGTTATTTTAATATTAATTAATAAGTCATTTTAGCCTTTAGGTGAGTGTTAAACGCAGTTTTTCTGGTCTTAAGTTCATTTTGACTGACTTAAGATYATCATTATCCAGTCAAATGTTGGAAAATATTTTATTAGTACAAAAAACAGCCAATAATTTGCTAATTTAGAAATGTACCTTATTATTTATTATTTAAATATAAKTTTATTTGAATAATTATTAATTTATATGTCATACAAATTGTATTATCTTGTGAATTATACACCTAAATTAACACTAACTTATCAGTTATAGCTCTTTGCTACAAGCTCTAAGAAATTCTACTTATTTCATAATTCTTGTACAACAGCAGGGYCGGATTGGTCATCCGAGCTACTGCAAAAATCTCGGTGGGCCGCTTAAAAAAAATGTCGATCGTAAGTGATTGGGCAATTATTTCATAATACAAATTTGAATACATTTATTTAACTCTGTGCGCTACGTCAAATCTAGATCAATTTATACATTTTTATTTGAAAAAAGCCCCTTTTAGGGCCGGTTAAAAAACTAAAACTCGGTAGGCCGATATCTTATGTCTATCCGGCACTGTACAACAGAGTGGATAATTATGGAAAAAATAATAGTAGAATATATTGAAAAAAACAATTTAATTCTCTATTATATCTTTAAATTATAACATTTAACAAAAAACAAAAAGTTWAAATAATGTTTAAAAATGTAATAACATTAAAAGGAAAATATCAAATAACATTTAAACATACAATAACGTTAAAATTGTATAATGTTTAAATAGCCAGTCAAAAACAGAAAAACAATATTTTTTTTTATTAGAATTTAAGCCCTGATTCTTATATGTAGGTACTATGGGTTGTCTTCATTTTCAAAATATTTAGATTAATTTTAAGCATGGTCTTTTTATATTTTATTCTGTATAGTGCTCAATGCTTGCATTACTAATAGTAAAATAAGTTTTTATAATGGAAATATAATATGAACATAAAAAATAAATATACTTGGTTATACAGGCTGACAGATCGTCTTGTCTCTCAAAACCTCCTCAACACACTCAACAGCAGAGTGATTTAATAATTTTTTTTCAGTTAAAATCAAACCAGTTCACAAAACTCCAATTTTAAATGTTCTCAGTTATATTGTAAATATTATTTTAAAAATAACAATGTAATTTGAATTTTTGATATTTTACGTTTTGCTATATTATAATATTTGTCATTTAGTAAAATATAGTACAAACATTGGACGACCGCTACAAGAGGGCGCTACCAGTAAGTACACGATCGTACATATTATTTTCTCTGTAAATCATTACAATTATTATAGTGTGTTGTGCAATTCATTTAAATGTTATAAATTATAATTTATGAATTGAATTGGAAATAATGGAATACGCATGAGGAGAGATTTAGCGATACTTAAGTGRTGCACGACAAGTTGACAACAGCAGTCTTTAATCAAAAACTTTTAGGTAAACGTAAATCCACGGTGATGATAAAATTACAGTAGGTTTAATATTATAATCGATAGCCGTCGAATTCGAATTGTCGTCACAAGCTTATTCGTTTGTTTTAGTATTCAATATAGTATAGAATGACGAATGACGGTCGACGATACTGATCAGATTAGTTCAAATGGTTAATCGRAAATTCGTAAGCACTAAATAATTCGTATACTGYAAAACAAAAACTTATTAGTTACTAGTTGAAAAAAAAAATAAGAACGAAAAGAGTGCTCAAGGTTATAACAGCTCAAAAAGATTTAAAATGTTATCATCTAGGACCTAGAGATTCTAGGTCATCAAATGGTCATATTAAATATTCAATTAGTATAAAATAACTAATATTGTGTTATTGTGTATTGTCTATTCTATTGTGTTGATAAATAATAGGAACCTATTTAATATTATAGTATTTACCTTACTATTATAACAATATGATATAAGGTAGGAGTGATGTAAGACGTATTACAACGGACAACAGAAATTGGTAATCGGTCAAAAAGTCCGGTATAGAAATTGTTGGACAAAAAGTCCGGATTTATTTTTTGATTACCGGACAAAAAGTCTGAAAATACAAAGTTGTCTAATTTATCATAATTGTGTAATTATAATATAATATATATATATATATATATTATATTTTATATTTTCTTATCCCTAACATAAATACAACAGAAAGCCACCAGATTATGATTTTTAAGATAACATATTATTATAAAACATCGTTAATAATTATAATGAAAATAATAATTTAAAATTAGTTATATGTTTTAAAAAATTGTCAATACAAACATTGATCCAAATATAATAATAATAATAATAATATTTAAAAAAAAAGTTATACGTCTTAAAAAATCTAGTCTACAATACTAATAATAATAATATTTTTTTTAAAGTTACCTACACGGCTACACAGTATACGATATATTTACAAATATACATTAATAATTTGATCTACGCATCACGTTTGCCAATACAATAATTATATAATATAATAGGTACATTATAATTATAAATGAAAATTGAATAGACAATTTTGTATTTTCGGACTTTTTGTCCGGCAATCAAAAAATAAATCCGGACTTTTTGTCCAACTATTTCCATGCCGGACTTTTCGTCCGGGAATCACAGAAATTTTATCGATAATAAAACCAAACGACAGTTTGATACTGGTAACGTTTTCTATCAAAATATAAATCCAAAATCTGCCAATACGATATTGTACCGAGTAATTGGATAAAACTACCGAAAACACATTTTAATCCGTCATGAAGTTTGCTTGAAAACAACTTGATTCCTTACAGTTCAGCCTTAACCGCCTTTACTACCATATTACGATTATAAAATAAATTACTTGAATAGCAATATTAATGTATCSAAAAGTATAGATATCGTTGCATGGACTAACAGTCGACAGGCCATTTACACTCTAAACCGTTTTTCGTGTGCAAATATTTGTCATTGAATCAAAACTATTGTATACGCACACCATAGGCGGAGATTTGATTGAATTTTAGGGGGGGCTTAAATGTTTCTTTGCAAAATAAGCCGTGGGGGCTTTGCCCCCACACCCCCACTCTAATATTAATATTACCTTCACTCTTCAATACCTCTTAAATTATTAAATTTCAAAACTACTAAATATATATATTATGCATTTTAGAAATCATTTATTATACAATAAATATTTTATTATTTTAATACAATAAATCTATTTTTATTTGCAAATATATCAATAACGTTCTCAATATCAGTATTGATATCTTTTTCAATGTATAATATTGAAGAGTTATTAAATTTTAAAACGGTCAGCCGGCTTGCACTGATGACGATTAGGTATTAATATAATTATGGTATAATAAATAATTATTATTATATTGACATTGAACAATATTTCAAGAAAAAAAAWATATTTTGTGAATTTCCAAGATTTTGGCAATTGTTGTAAAATAAATTCCTATTTTAATATTTTATAGTAATTTATACTATGAAAAATGTTTATACATTTGGGGGGCTTTCGATCTGTTTGGGGGGCTAAGCCCCCCCCCCCAAGCAACCCCCAATCTCCGCCTATGACGCACACATTGCACTGATTACAGTGACCAGGTCAACGACGAAGACGTCATCAGAGCGGTCACCTGCTTTCGCTCTTTTTAAACTTAAACTGTTTTACCGGAAATCAAAAATGTCCGGTGGATTTTTTTTTAAACACGCTAGCGATCATGRGAATTTTTTGCGCAGTCTACCGACATATTGTGGTGACGTAGTGACGTGTAGCACCAAACGTCACTGCCGGCCGTACTGTTGCACCTCCAAAGACGATAATAACGACAACAATTAGTTGTTGCTGTTGTTGTTGTTGTGGTTGTTATCATTAATCGGTAATTGGTGCGGTATTCGCGGACAAAACGATTTTGGGCGGGTCAGCAGCAGGTGTGTTTCTCCGCTGAATTAGTGAAGTCTAAACGATTGTTCGTCTGCGAGCGAACAATAATAATTTAAATCGTTAACAATTATTATTGATATTATTYACTATTTACTGTGTTCACTTTTTAACCTGCCGCGTTATCACCAAGGCAGTGACTGGTTCGTCGATAGATTTTTTGTTCTGTGAGTCTTGTCACTGGGCTTTTTACGGTTAGTCAGGTATTTTTGTCTGCTCAACGACGAAACGAATATGAACTACGGCAGCAAGGCGACGTTCATCGGTTTGGACACGGACAAACGCAAAYTTCCGCTGTCCAAGAGATTCGTAATGTACGCCTACGACAAAGACACCGGAGAAATATTTGGTCGCACGCCGTCCAGCTGGGGTAAGAGTACTATATTTTTTGCTTTTATGTTCATTCTTATAAAATATGTTATATGCTTAAGCACTTTTCAAGACGTATAGATTATTTTGGACGGTTCAAATGTATCATAATCCTACAGTATGTTTCTTATGAACAAACAATTGAAATCCTGGTATAGAGTGATGATAATTTGATAGAGGTTTTTGTATTTTAAGTTGAATGGAAAAATGGTAGGTAGTAGTTATTCAAAGATGGGCAAGGTAATGAAAATAATTAACTCAAGTTAATAGTTATTAGTAAGGGGACACATAATCGTTAAGTTAAAAGTTAACAAATTATAAATTCAAGAAGACAGCACATCTGCATGCGTTGTCTCCGTCTTACAAACATAGAACATCATAAAAACTGTACTTGCGCAAGACAGTTGTTCTCCCTCAATATCTGTTATAAAATTATTAGAATTCCACAACACATAGGTAAGAACTTTATCTGTGTCATAGCTTCATTATTTTTATTTTTTTGAAAACAAATATAATTAAAGTTATCAGCTTTAGAAAATACATTTAATTTTTATTCTTTCATTTAATTATCAAAAGCTATTGGTTAGTACCATCAAAAAAATAACTGTTATAATACAGAWAACATTTTTACCTATACGTTATTGAATCCTGATAATTCTATTATTAATACTGAGGGAAAACAGTTGTTTCGCACAAGTAGTTTTTGTTATGTTCTATGTTTGTGTGATGGAGATAACGCATTCGGGCGTGGCGTCCTCTTAAATTTATAATTTGTTTACTTGTATTGATGGCCTTAAAATTTATAAAATGACATAGGTAAACATGTTTAAAAATAATCTAAATTAATAAAGTATAAAGTTTTTTTACTTGAAAAATTGTTTTGTGTTAAAATGCATCATTACAATCAAATATTATTTTAAATATAAGACATAATATAATATTCCATGTAATGGTTAATTAAGTTATATAAAAATAATTAGAAAATTTATATATTATTTTAAATATTTTTTAGKCATTGTAAAACAATATTCCAGAAAGATTATTAAATGTATAATTGATCAGAGTCAAAATATTCAACAAAATACTGTTTCTTGATAATCAGGGTTTGGATGTAAATGCACTAAATATGTTTGTATTTATGCACTATAAAATAACTAAATATACATGTAAAAATTGAAAAATATAAATTAAAAATTTTATATTTTAATTATGTAATACAAATTAAAGAAGGTGTTTAAAAACAATATCTAATTAATAATTCATTACAATAATTGCAAGTAACTACATTTAAATTTCAATGTTTTTTCAGTTATAAGGTAATTCATATAACTGTTACAATTTATTATTGATGAGCTTTAAACATTCCATGTGCAGCTGCATAGGTATAATTTTAAATGGTAATATAAGATACCCGATAAATATTATCTTTATATTTAAGAATACGTGAAATAGAACAACCTAAAAAATAAAACACAATTTGAATGTTGTGTATACTTTTTATAAATTAATAAATAAAAATAATTTGATCATGATCTAAAATTAAATAACAYTTTTTAAAACAATTCAAATGCATGCCTACAGTATTCACATTAAGAAGGAATCTTGTTGGCAACCAGCTTTTGTTGGGTAACGATTCAGGCAACACTCGTTTGCTGCCTCAACCAAATAACCTCTATGTATACCTTTGTGTATTAAAGCCACATTCTTGTGAACAAGTTGGCCGCCAAATATGTTCTTTCTAATATTAATGGAGTGAAGTAAAATTCAATTTTAATTATTTTCTTTACATTTCAGCCAAAATTGGGTTATTTTATACAGCGTTTTATTTATCACTTGTCGCTATGTTTGGAGTAGTTTTATGGTTTTTCTTCCAAACTCTTGATCCACGTACTCCGACTAGACTACTTGAACATTCACTAATTGGAACAAATCCAGGTACTTTCATTAAATCTAAATTCTTTCAACTAAATATTAAAATATTAATATTTTACTGCGTATGTTATTTGCAGGTTTGGGATTCAGACCTATGTCTAATGAAACTCATAGCACATTAATTCATATAAATAGTAAATCTGTTCAAGATTATTCAGTGTGGACAGAAAGACTCGTCAAATTTTTAGATGGTAAATATGTTTTTACTAAACATCATGTTAATTTATTGATTTTAACTTTATTTTCAATCGGTTTAGTGTACAAGAAACCAGGTTTGACTCCAGGAAGAGGTCAAAATATTGCAACTTGTAATTATGATAAACCTCCTGGAAAAGGAAAGGTTTGTGATATTGATGTGAAAGCATTCGMTTCTTGCACAGAAGAAAATCGGTTCAATTTTCATCGTCAAGGCCCTTGTATTTTTCTTAAATTAAATAAAGTAAGAGATCCAAAAGTTATTAGAGAGAGTTTATTGTTCAAATATTGTTTAGAACTTATTATCATAAACATGRTTTTACAATCTTTTATGTTTACCTTCGTCACATACCTTTGGTTATCACAAAATCTCAATATTTTTCCATTATACATTATCGATTATTGATTAAGTATTCAAATTTAAATTAAATAATTTAAATAATTTATTTATAAGTTTAGATTTTCAATGAAATAATTTAGTATATTTATTAAAAAAATTAATCTAAAAAAACTTATTTATATTTGTGCAATTGTTCCTACATTTTTGTTAATTATATTTATTTAGCTTATAATAAAAAAATATTGTATTGCATAATCTTGTCTGTGTATAGATTATAGATGAATATTATTGTTTAATACAAATGAATAATTATTAATTTAATAATAGGGTCCAACAAAGTTGATAAATTACATTTATCATAATATAGTTTCCGACATTATTTGGGCATATGACTTCTATAGTTGTATTATTATAATTTTAAGTTAATTTTATAATAACTAGAAGTTATATTATAATTATAATATAATTATAATATATTAGAAGTTAATATTCAATAATAAGTTATAATTTTGCTTCAAAATAAAAAAACTATTTCTGTTATACACCAATAGAATTTAATTGCCTGAATTAAATAGACAACAACATTTTAAAATTTTTTTTTCTAGATTTATGGTTGGAATCCTATATTTTATGATGACCCAAATGACCTACCACATGATATGCCAAAAACTTTGAAAGACCACATCAAAAAAATAACAAATCCAGAAGAGGTTAGTATTCTTAATGTATAATTAAAATATTTATGGGATAAACAAAGGCCAAAATCTTGCCTTAGTAGATATAGTATTAGTTTTTTTTTTTTATAATTAAATAAAATTTTTTACATAAATATCCATTTTAATTTGTTTTCAGTTGAGAACTGTTTGGGTATCATGTGAAGGAGAAACTGTTTCTGAYAAAGAACTCATTGGGCCAATGGCATATTGGCCCATTCCTGGATTTCCTGGTTATTTCTTTCCATTCGAAAACTCTGAAGGATATCTTAGTCCTTTAGTTGCGATTCATTTCAAAAGTCCAGCAAGTGAGTGGATTCATATTAAAACACAATATTTTAATTATTTTTAAAATTTTTTTTTTATTTACCTGAATTTAGAAAGTATTGTAATCAACATTTTGTGCAAAGCATGGGCAAAAAATATTGTTCATAAAAAAAATGGTATCAATAGAGGATCTGTGCATTTTGAATTGATGATGGATTAACTGGCTTCTACATTTAATTATTTTTAGATACCAWATTTATTTTAAACAATGTTATAACTWTATAAGATTTCTTTGCTTTAATTGAAAGTTAGACGTGTTGTTTATTCTCTAAAACAATGTATAATGGTATAACAAAATTTCTTTGTTTGGAATTATTGAACATTAAGTATTCCATTTAGTTTTTATGGATAACAATTCTAAAACTACAATTCTTTAGTTACATCATTGTTGTATGAATAAAATGTGAATTATTTGTCTTTTACATTATTTTTTTTTACATATCAAACTATGCACATATCAACAATAAAAACTTTGATTTTATTTAAATTATTCCATTAGTTCTATCTTATAATCTTTATCATGTGTTTAAGCTGTATATTTTTTTTACCATGTTATATTTATATTTCGTCCAATTTATACCAATATTGAATATCATTAGATATTATATATCTCGTCATAACTCAAAAACCATTACATATTGAAGACTGATTTTTTACAAGACATCTTTCGAACTAATAATAATTTTCATCCAATTTTCACATGTAATAAGTGATTTTTTTTTATAATTACTCGTGTGTTGTCAAATTATAGATATTGTGTTACAACAATAATGTACAATTTGTGTTCAATAAGTCTAAATATTAGACAATTATGATCTGTTTTTATTAAATTATGTTTTTCTAAACAGTATTTAAAATTGAATAAACATTTTTTAAATACATAGAATTAATTAATATTATTTAATGCAAAGATTTATTACATTGGTAGTTATTAGGTATTAGTTATTAGCCATCAAAATTAATACATTTTATGTATCAAAATATATTACAGTGATATCTTTTAATGAAAACTACTTTGTAATAGAAATTATTTGTATTTTATTATTATACCACATGGTCTAATGATTAATAGTTAAATATTTACTTTTATTGAGGTTTATGATTAAATTATGATTACTGTATTATTTATCAAAGTAACAATAATTATGTTAAAGCTTAAAACTTTCCAGTATTAAATATTATTGTAAGGTTTAAAATATATATTATATTAAATTGTTCCATAATTTATAACATTTTTATGTAAACCACTTGTAATGAATTATTAATTTTTAAGATAACTAAATTTTGTTAGTATTACCCAGTTATATATTTTTTTACATACATTTATATTATGCTATACCCAATAAATGATCATCAATATTAATGAGTTTGTTATTTGATAACAATTTACCATCATTCATCATCATTTTACATTAAAAGTATGTCAGCTAATCATTTTATCTATATTATATATATATTTATTTTTTTGAAGCTACGTCATATAGATTTGCTATATATGTTCTCAAAAAAGTTAAATATTTATTTTAATCTGTAGCATTTATTTTTACTTTTCAACTTGATTATAGAGTAAAATAATAATAAAATATAAAATTATGTCAAACCTCCAAAAATATTATGCTCTATATGTTTATAATTAGTGTTTTTACTCATGATTACACAAAAATTGTAAAACTAGCTTTTGTGTGAACGAGTTATGTATGTTCCATAATTTAGTTCAAAAAGTTTTCTTGTATTTTCYGTTGCCATCGCCCATCAGTTTATTAGAAAGAGTAATAAGTAGGATTAGACAAGTCTTGAAAWTATTATTAATTGAAAAATATCTTGATTCCTTGTTGATTCAGTATTAATTTTAAAATAGAATTTTTTCAATAAGTAGGTGAAGATCTATAGAGTTATCTAATAATTGTAGCAATAATACTTATTAATGTAATTTATTATTTAATTTGAAGATTCTAAAATTGATTAATATACCATACAAACAGAATGCCGTGGAATGTGGGTGTTCAACTTTAATTGAATATAGAAGATAAAAAAAAAATGATTTTGAATTGCTTTGAGATTTTGAATAGTATTGGTCATACATATATAATAATTGAGTCCCATAAGTAATTAATTTAATACTGTTATGTTTAATTTTAGAATGAATTTATCTATTACCAAATTGAGAAATAAAAATATTATGTATTTTATTTTTAGCCAAAGTATACAACAAGTTTCTTTAGGAACAATAACAATATGTGATAAATAATAGTTTCTCACATAATTAATTCGATGAGAGGAGTCACCTAGTGGTAACATTACCCTTACTTGTTTTTTAWTTTTATTTTATATTATATTGATAAAATTTAAATTTGAAAACAATTCATGAAAGTTTAAAAAAAATAAATTGTAATCACATTTTAAGATACTCTCAGGGCCGGTAGGTTAGGTTACGATTTCCGACTAAAGTTAACCGACACTTAACCAGGTATTGTAAGAATCGGCTTTTATTAAAATTWAAATTTAAAAAAAAAGGTTTAAATACCATTAACTAGATCAGTAGTTCTCAACTRGTATGTTACCAAAGCAGAAATATATGACATTATTGACAGTGTGAGTTGATGATAAAAACTACACTTAAAAAAATAATTGTGAGGATAGTCTCATTTTATCAATTTGTATACAGATAATAATTGTTACTTCTTCAAAAATCCATTAATCACTAGAAGTGTATCGGTATTTTTATGAATATAAATTAGGTTGTCATAAAAAATCTGAACTAGATGTTATTCTTATTTTAAAATCTGGTAATAGGTCAATTTACTTTAAAATTTAACATAATGGAACTAAATTAATTATTCAGAATATAATATTTTCTGTTATGCGTTTGTAAGATTAAWATAACACATTAACACATGCAGGTATGGTATGTTCTTAATATTTTACATTTTTTGACACAAATCAATTGAATAACAAGTAWTAAAACTATTTCAATTCTCCTCTAAAGCAGTAATCATGGATTGTATCTATTTTTCTAAAAATAATTTGGCATCGTCAGCAAATAATAGAATATTAAAATGTTTTATTTTTATAATAAATTGAATATAGTTTATACATAATAAAAACAATGTTGGTGAAATATGGATAGGCTGGAAAAGAAAATTTATTCATTTCACAATCTGTATTTTATTGGTTAAAAAAGAGATAAGCCTGTATAATAGTGGGTCACTTAACCCAAACTTTTACAATTTATTTATTAATAGYAAACAATTGACACTATCAAATGCTTTTTTTGAAATCTGAGAAAATAGTATCAACTTGGTATCCATCTGAAATAGATTAAATTATGTTATATTTGAAAATATCCAGATTTATTATAGTTGAACTGTTGAAAATTCCTTCAGAAACAATGTTGAACAGTAGATATAATAATAAAATGTTCATGACTGGATAATTTTTTAATTTTAAAAGTAGTTATTATAAAGGAAGTTTCTCGTACTTCCAGAATAAAAACAATTTTGATTTTTGTTTCTGCAAAAACTAGTTCTTTTAAATTTAAAAGAACCAAGAGCCACCACAAGAAGAGGATCCTGGTTTACCCTCAATAATTGCTTCAGTTGTTTTTAAATTTCAATCTATTGATTTAATTTAGTTTTTCGTGTCTATATTTGTCTATCTTAAAATTATTTATTTATTTTAATTATAAGTATAATAGTTTTTATACAGTTACTATTTTCAAGAATTCCATACATGGTAATAGTTTTATACTTTTTTTATTGCAGTTGATATGTTAATTAACCTGTTTTTAACATTTTTATTTGTATGAACAAAATTAGTTTGAATTCTTATAATTAGCACATTTTATAAATAAAGTAGATGTTAGACGTCATGTATAGAACTATTGATTGTAATGTGCATAGAATGGTTTGCAATTAATTGCTGTTTTGCATAAACTATCAATAATATTATACCCAACTGTGACCGAGAACGTAAGATTTTTTGAAATATAATTTGCAGAATACCGTCAAACATTAACAAGTAGCAATATAATATAACGTAAATTATGTCAATTGGTTCTCAAATCTCAAACGATAATTTTGGGAGAAAATTTATCTGGCGAAAACAATGTACTCCAATATTATTAAATGATAGCAAGTAGATAGGAAATTATTTTTATAGAGTGGTGAAGAAAATTTATTCTAGTCATATTTCTCCTCTAAAAAATTCTAAATACACTACTCTCTGAGATACAAATATTTTCGATATATAAGCGTATAACTTAAAGTTTATTTTATGCATTAAAATGTTCACAATTTTGATCTTCTGATAAAACACAACTTAAAATATAGTTAGTATTAAAAATTAATTATATCTATAAATCTATTTCAGAATCAGAAGAGGTTTGTGCAAAATGTGGCAACCGAGCTATTTAGCTCATCCCACAAATGTTGTCTATTGTTAACACTGTCACAGCCACCATTATTCCTCTACACCATATATTTTAAATTATTGTCAATATTATTATTTTTTTCATAAGTTTATCAATATTACTGGAAAACTCTACTATTATTTGTGTTATAGATACATAAACTATTTTTTTATAACAGTATAATAAGACCTAAAGAATCGTTTWATCATATAAAATCTTAAGATTTTTATCTGGAGAATGTTGAATTAAATTTTAATAGATATAAAAACATTTTTGTTAAACTTGAACAATTAATTATMCCTTGAATTAAAAAGAATATTATTAACAATTACAAAATGCTGATCAAAAACAAAATTACTCCAAAAACAATGAAACTTAGCTAAAATCTCGAAGAAATTATAAAAATTAAATTAGCAAATACTAAATCTTTAGTATGGTAAATGTATCTAAATTATTTTTACTTAATCAAGTGGAACTATAAACAAAATAGTTTTATTTCTTGAAAAGTTTTGAAAATCTGAGTAGCTTGATATTGCACGGTCCTTTTCTTATTATACTATAAATAAAACTGATGATTTCATGAGACTTAAATGTTCTATATATTTTTAGCTTCTTCAAATATGAATAAATTTAATATTTTATTCATACAAATAGTCATTAAATATAAATTTAATATATTCGAACATTAATTAATTATAAAAAAAAACTTAAAGAGGATACAAATTATTTTTCTAGATAATAACAGTCCACTCGACCACTTAAATTAAGTAAGGTTATATATCTTATAACTTAAAGATAAAAAAAATTGTAACAATGTAGTTTTTGTGAAAATAATCAATGTAGATGAATAAATCATTTTGATTTTTGWTCAAAACAATTTTTTATTTGATTATTTTTTGTAATTTGCTTTTATAAATATATTTCATTTTTATAAGCATTCTAATGATAAAATTAATACATAACTTAATATATAATCATTCTTATCATATTTTGAACACTTTCCATTACTCATTCTTCGGTTCATCTACATCACTGTCGATAACGTTAACCTGAAGTGGTTGCAAATCATCTTTATCGAGTGAAACAGTGGTAGTAGCAGAGGCAGAAATTGTCCTATTTTCCTGTTTTTGATTATTTACAGTTTGACAATCAGCATTCTTCAAGTTCTTTGATCGAATTTCAGCCATAATCTATTAAAAAACATTAATTAGTCTTGTACTTAAGTTAAAAATTAATTTTAATAATATTGTAGTAATGTATGTCAATATTAAGAGGACATTAAAGTTTTTATAAATTTTAAATGCTCATAATTTGCTTCAAACTTAATACATATAAAAAGAAACAAACATGAATAATATTCTTTAATTTTTTTCATCAAACATTTAAAATAAATAATACACCAATTAATTTTAATGATAAAAATAACTGAGCTAAATGGATTACTCGATTAGTAAGACAAAGGCAATTAATAACGAGTTAGATTACTTAAAAAAAAAATTATATCGCATAAAAATACTCAAAATAGTTTGTGTATTTAATTTATGTTAAACGATAGTAAATTTATTTTCAAGTTTGTAAACAGATACCTGATCATGCAAATTCTGGAAATCTGAAAGCTGGTCTTTCAATGATTTGTTTTCCTCTAGTAATGAGTGAATTTGGACTTTCAATTTAAGCATTTGCTTAGCATCTTTCTAAAATTGGACATAGATTATTAAAATAAAGATTTAAAAATGTAAAAAGGGATTATAATGGTTAACTTGCCTCATCAAAATTGAAGTCATCTGTGAATGCTGTTTGATTTTGCAACAGTTGTTTTTCAAGATCGGCGAATTTCTTTTGAAGTGAAACACGGAATTTGTTTGTAATATCTTCTGAAGATGTAGTATCTAAAATTTAATTTTATTACAAAAAAAAAAATTGAAATTTAACATAAAAATAATATTTTGTTGGTTGTTAAAATATAATACAATATATTATAATGTTTTCGTAAAATCCAAACAATGAAAAGATTACTTAAATACCTCTTCTGAACTCCAAAGCAATAATTTATGTAAATTATTTATATACCAGATTTACTATCTTTGTTCTATTAGTAAAATGACGTCAACAATCAGGCACAAATTTAGTATAATGAATTTAAATAATATTCACATTAAAACTAGATTTCTTAARTTATAATTGTTGAGCTTYACAAGATTGCCAGATTTAAATTTTCTATACTAAAATTCAGAATTTTTCATAAGATGTCGATTGACAAGCCAATGTCAGAAATTTTTTTTTTATAATTAAATGTTTTATATTATTTTATGTTACATACATACTATATAATTTAATTTTTAAAAATGTCCTTATATACAATATACATACAATGTAATTTGATTAAATTTCCTTTGTATAAAATAAAATAAGAACTTTTTGCATTATGTTGTACCTTATACAGCGTTATAATATATTAATCATTATTTTTATCCAACCCCCAAACGGCCCAAACCCTAAATAAACTTTKTATATGCCTAAAATATGAAGTGTATTAGTATGTATTATTGCCTGAATAGAAGTTTGTACTKTAATTCTTCCAAATTTAACAAAAATGTTTTTTGTATCCGTTTAAGACACACTTTTACCTTTTGATTGATCCGAAGTGCCTACCATCAATCGCTGTTTCTTGGTAATTTCAAGCAACATTTCATTGGTGTCGTTTAGCCTTTTATTGTCCTTTTCCAATTTGGACTGCTGCTGTTCGAGTTGTTCTATTGCCTGGCTCATGGTGATGGACAGCTATAATAAAACAATAATACAATATTTAAAACATTTAAAACATCAATTAAGTAATTAGTTGCTTGATTAATTGAGTATACAATTATACAGATAATACTAAATCCACAGATACTCGTGTATGCAAAGTTGATTTAGATATAAAAAAAAAAAAATAAGAAACACTTGAAATACCACGCGCAACTCACATCTTTAAGTGTTTCAAAATTGTCTTCTATCTCACGAGAGTTGGACATGATGTTGTTGCAGCCGACCGCGACCGAACTAATATTTTATTCGTAATATTTCTTACTACACAAAAGTGTCAACCCTAGCTATTGTTAAATAATACTTTTAAATACGGTTAATCTAATGATGAGACACACGACTGAATACAATATATTATATTATTGGAAACAAAATAATATTAGACGTATGGGTTATGAAATTGGTATTACTTTACTGCTGCAACTGCAGGAATTGCACTACCTGTTTCATATAATGTATGCTAGGAAGGCCTACAATATGCCTATGCACCGCACACGTCTAGACGAAACAGTCGCACGAGCGATAATAACACATAGGTACAATGTCCGCGGCGGCTGTATAGTAGATACGTCGTTACATAGGCCTAAGCGTATTATATTATTATTATTTGAAAACATTTCACGGTTTTTTTCCCCTCCGCGCGCCCATACGCACAGTTCAAATATTCGTTTATGGCCCGCTCCGTAGATGCCGCTATATAGTATAGGTACCTATATAGGCACAGACATCCTCTATACATTATACTCCTCGCAGCACGACGGTTACCCTTCGCCACACCGCGATCCCCTACCATCCAACAACATCCGTGTGCGCCGCCGTTCAGTGACCGTTCTATGATTATTATTATATTATTTTGAATTAAACAATAGTTGGCGCATAAAAAGCATATACTGATATTATATGCATAATATAACACATTACATGCACACACGTGTGATGCCTATGCGCGCGCGTTTTAAGCTATATACCCGCAGAGCTGTAGAGTTGTACAATGTACATATAGCTACAGACGGTAAATAGAAATATAGACGATAGGTACTATAACTGTATAGGTACGAACTATATGCACATAATATTATGTAATATTATGATATAGGTATATTATACACGTAGCGATCAAGTGCCGGACGGATGAGTCTCCGCCTCTCATACTCTCCAGCTATGTATACGCGCCGTGCATAATTCGAACCCGCCAGATGAGCCCGCAGGAGGTGTAAACATTTGTTTTTTAAATTATACAATAATATTATATTCACTTTAAAAAGCGATTGCATCATGATTCATGATAATGTCATATACATATGTACTATACTACGGTATGCTATAAAACTGTTCAACTATTGCCATATTTACGCACGGACAAAATAGACATTCGTCCTGGGCCCACCGGTGACTAACACTAACTACGTAATATATTACATATSGCYCAATTTTTTATTTTGTCTTGGGCCATATATTTGGTAAATCAGGCTCTGAGTCTATAACCGATAATCAGGGGACGGTAATTCGTCACTCGCCAAGAGAGGGGAGCTAGTTGAGGTTCAAAAATTTACTTATCCATATTTTAAACCTATATACAATTTTAATTCACATGATATGTTTTTACTCATTATGTAAATCATCTTTTTTTTTTTTTACACATAAATGTAATAACAAAAATGAACTATTATTTAAAAAATATTTATATTGCATTATTAACGATCTAATTATTTGCGATCTAATTTAATTATTTTACAGAGCCATTCAGAGCATTTAAATCTCCATAA